ACCATAAGACGAGAGACTTTGCACGATGTGAGAACGTGTTCCCTCTCAGTTTCTTGCTTCGGGTTCGAACTCATGGCGACTGTGTTTATAGGGACTTTGGCGGATGTGGAGCAGTAGCATCACCGCTTCAAGAAACTTTCGGGTTTGCCGTCACCGCGAGTCAGTTTGAGAGCCTTTTACTACTGAAGTCGCCCGAGAGTGTCGGGATCGAAGAGGATTTTGAGGTGCTGGACGCCAACCACAACGGACGCGTGGACAGGTTGGAACTGCGTTTGAAGACAAAGCAAGATGTACGTAGACAGGGCTCCCGATTATGGCATTTTTATTTATGGGAGCACTATCTGCTACATAAATAATGGCATTCAGTTTAAAAAAACAGAGCATAAATAGTGCTATTTCCAAATTCATTTTTAAAGATAATTTTTACATTCTAGGGATCTTTTTAATTTAAAGTTTGTATTCAGTTTCTAGAGCTCGAAATTTATTTCTTAAGCACAATTATTGCTGGACTTTGTCGAAATAAATAATTTATTGAAGATCGACAGCAGCTGTCATAAATAATCAAAAACAAAATATTAAAATTATTGTTTTACCATGCCATAATCGGGAGCCCTGCATACTGCTGAGTGGATGGTGATAACTTATTGAACTCTTTGTCTCAATTGCTTTCGACCTCTTTGATTTCAACCACAATGGGTCTTTATCACTGGCAGAATTGTCATGAAAGAGCTCGAAGCTCGCAAGCAACGAAGTATGCGCAATGTTTTCTGGATAACAGGATTAGTGTAAATTGAGGGCAAAAATATTTAATTTTACGTTAATGTAAGTTTTTTTTTTAACTATCAAAGAACAAAAATTGCATGCTATTTGGGCGGATTGATTCGGGAGTAGATGTAATCATCCTGCGCGCCGGCAGCCGTTTCGGTCGTCCGTCCATCGCGGCCCTCGATCCGAGGGCCGCCATGGCCTTTGCCGGGCGCCACTTCACCATTCAAGATAAGCGTCAAGACGCAAAAGGTGAAGAGACGCTAGGCTGGCGATGCGACGTCTACTACTGCTGCTGGCTGCAGGCTCATTGTGCTGGACTCCGTGGGTTGTCGATGGAGATGCGGCCACGACGACGACCGAGCAGGTTCCGATGAAGCGGCGGCTACTTGATTCGACGGCCAAGAAGCCTTCGCCGAGAGATCCATTTATGTTTGGTACGTCTAGCGAAAAAGCGAGGGTCATAAAGGAACAGGCTGATGAGAAACTCTTGTTTATATGTGGCGGTATGCATTGCAGATAATCACATGGTTGGTGACGTGTCAGTTCGGAGCCACCCTGTGTACGGCTCTGCGTCGCTGTCTGTTAGGTCAGGGAAGATCTACAGAAACATTGACAGTGTGGGCAGCTCCGGTGCGGCAGTGGGGGCCATGAGCGTTCCTACCAGCAATGACCTCAGGTTGGTGCGGCGGAAATAGGAGGAAGAGGTTTAAGTTGTAGGTCTGATCTATGGTGTGTTATATGTCTGATCTCAGAGCGTATGTGAATGTGGGAGACGTCGTGTTTTTCAGCCAAATGGATGCGCGAACTGTTGTTGGTGTGAGCAGTACCGCCATCTCTATTGATGAAGGCTTGCAGCACCGTTTGCTGGGTGGAGAAAGTATTGAAGTCCGAAAGAGAGTGTTCTCTACGATTGAGGACACGTCGTTGCAGACTGTGGTAAACTCGCGTGGGATCCAGTTGTACTCGCACGATGACACGGTAGATGTATCGTCGGTACACAAGGTGCTACAGATTCGCCACTTTGCCGATGCTAGCTCAGCCACAGCGCGTTTCCTGCCGGGGAATGTATCTGTCAAGCACGGCAGTGATGTCGTCGAAACGCTAGTGGACCTGTCGAAAGAACTATCCGGGAGCATGTTTGTGCGTCTTGCAGGTGGCTCCTACCTGATTGACCCTGTGCGCCCAGTGACATCGACGCAGTTCTATATCGACCGCCCATTTGCAGGCTCGTCTCATGATGATTTACCCGTATCAGTGGATGGGATTGGCTCGGGTATACTGCTGGAAGTACGAGGCACGAATGTTAGCACTGGTGCGAGTATTGATGTCATCGCCACGAAGGTGGGGGAAGTCGTTGCAACAGATATTGTACTGTCGACAACTTCGGATGGTGTATCTGCGGGTCGAGTGCAGATTAACCAGACTGGTATCCAGTTTCTCGGTGACACAAGCATCATATCATCCGAAGTAGCTTCTATCAGTCTCCAACCAGCGAAAGAACTGACATTGGTTTCAGGTTCACTCGACAACAAACCTGGCTCGATCGTAGCTATCCGCTCGGGGGCATCGAATTGGCAACGGGGAGGAGATATAAACATGGAAACTGGACAAAGCAAGCAAGGTACTACTTCAGGGTCGCTGCGACTACACTCGTCAGATGGTGTTGCTACTCACGCTTCGTCTGGATCAGTTGATATCGGTTCTGGTGCCGGAAGCGCTGGTCCTTCAGGGGCTATTACTCTTTCTAGCGGTGCGGCCAAAAATGGTGAATCAGGGCACATTCATCTTTCCACAGGCTCAGCTGATGGGGCATGCTCAGGAGACATAACACTTGAGACTTCGCCGTCGACGGGGGGAAGTGGTGGCTCTATTCTAGTTGCTGTTGGGGCAGGAGATGTCGGAACAGGAGGAAATGCTCACATTTCGGCTGGTTCAACTTCAGATATAGGATCACACGGGGGATCTCTGCTACTTGATGCTGGTTCATCTCCTCATATAGGCGGCGATATCAAAGTGGCAGCAGGTGCGAGCTCAGTAGCCACTGGAACGGGTGGTGCAGTGTCCGTAGCCGGCGGCGGTGCATCTACAGGAGGTGGCGTTAGCATTGCCGGAGGTGCTGGCACTGGTACGACTACCACAGGTGGTGCGGTGTCTGTAGTAGGTGGTGGCGG